TTACCTCCTTCATGTTCTCATGGATGAAGCTGGAAAATATTCTTCTTAGCAAAGTATCTCAGGAATGGAAGAAAAAGTATCCAATGTACTCAGCCCTACTATGAAACTAATTTATAACTTTCATAAGAAAGCTATAACCCAATTTTAGCCCAAGAATATGGGGAAAGGGGAGAGGGAGGAGAGGGGAGAGGGGAGAGTGGGTGGAGGGAGGGTGACTTGTGGGATCACACCTATGGTTCATCCTATAAGGGTACATGTGAATCTCTCTAAATGTAGAATATAAATGTCTTAACACAATAACTAAGAAAAATGACAAGAAGGCTATGTTAACCAGTTAGATGAAAGTATTTCAAATTGTATATAGAAAAAGCACACTTTACCCCATGATAGTATTAAAGTATACAGGTATGATTTAATAAAAAAATAAAATTAAAAAAAACCTTAAAAAAAAGAATTAGCCAAAGAAATATTAAATCAAGGGCTTCTGATACTTATAGCCAAACTAGTTCTTTATAAAATGTGTCCCCATGTATATTTCTATCATTTGTAAGTGAGAATCTCTGCTTTCCAAAGCCTTGGGGCTTTGGGGATTATTATTTTGGGTATTATTTGTAATGTTTTTTACTAATTAGATAACTAATACTTGTTTCATTGGGACTTTATTATGAGTGAGGTACACCACTTTATTCTGCACGGTCATTTCCCTACAAAATCATCACCTTTATATTCTCTGGCCACATAATACATTATTTTCAGTTAAAAACAAACATATACTTATTTTACATTTTTATTGAGTTATTGAATAAATGTACCATTAAAAAACAGTTTTAACATCAGAGGCTTCAAATTCTAGAATGTGGTGTAACCTAATAAATATTAATTGTTATTGAGTCTTTTAGGACTTAGTAAATGTTCAAAGATAAGTTAAACAATCATTTTGCAGAGAGTTTAAAACAGGTGGTTGCTCATTTGAAGTTACTGTCAACTCTTATGTTCCTGTCAACTCTTATGTTCTGAGAGTCTATGAAAAAAGCAGAATTATATTTTGATATCTTTTTCTCTGACCCCTCTCATTGACCCACAGCATTGACTCACTCTCCAATTGCTTATATAGTTGGTCTTCTTAATTCTGATCCTGTGCAAGAGTCATGTTTAGATTCATTGTCATGTTATGTAGAACAAAGGGACAATTCAGAGATTACTTTTCAAGTCCTCCTTCCTTAAATGTGAAAGTAATTCCTGACTCTTTGCCTTTGCCTAGGGAATGCTTTTGACCACTTCCACAGTTCTAATTCTCCAACTTTTAGGATAAATACAATAAACGTTTCACACTTACTTTCTGGTGGTTCTGATGCTCCCACATCACTCTTTTCCTTCTTGGATCTGAGAAACACTAGATGCTAGCGTTTATAATTTTGGGTGAACTCTGTCTTTCTATTAAGTCCTATAATCCTTCTAGGTAAAAGTGCCTGCAAATGCAAGATAACCATGGGTTACAATGCAATAGGGAATGGTATCCTTTGTTGTTACCATCACCAAGTCCAAAGAGAAATCTGATGAGAGTTCTCATTAAACCATGAAGTGCTATTTCCTGAATTGTGTGGCTGAAAGAATGAAAAATGGCAAATAAATGCTGGTAACTCTTCCTAGCTTTGGAAGTTAAGATGTTCTGACCTTTCTGCACAAAGAAATAATATTCTCTGTATGGAATTTTTCATTAATAGAAATGACACATGTTTCATTGGTTTTATGTGCTTGGTGCCCAGGGAATAATTGAGTGAAAAAACAGAAGTGTCTTTAGTGACTCTATGCAAACCACTAATGGATCAAAAAA